GAGCCGCGCCGCCCCAGCCGAGCCGAGCCGCCCTAGCCGAGCCGCGCCGCCCTAGCCGAGCCGCGCCGTCCTAGCCGAGCCGCGCCCTCCTTACGTGAGCAGCAGCACCACTACTGCTACTGCTACTGCTACTACTACCGCTGCTGCTGCTGCTACTGCTACTGCTACTGCTACTTCTGCTACTGCTACTTCAGCTATGGCTAGCCCTCCAGCTCTCTCGTTCGATGCTGAGGGCAGCCCGATTAAGTTTGAGACATGGCTCGATGATCTGCACCTGTTCCTCCAGCTCACTGCCAGAGAGGATATCTCGCTGTACGATCACGCACTATGCACAGTCCCTCCTCCTGCTACTACTGCTGCTGCTACTGCTCGCTCACAGTGGCAGACTCGCGATGCCCACGCCCGCTTTGCTATTCGCAACTCCCTGCCAGTCGACGAGCGCGAGCACTTTGGCCAGCATCAGACTGCGCAGGCCCTGTACACTGCTGTAGTTGCGCGCTACTCCTCCCCGGCCTCAGCTGCACTAGGCCGCCTCTCGCTTCCCTACCTGTTCCCCGACCTGTCCGCCTTCCAGACAGTCGCTGACCTCATCACTCACCTCCGCACTAGTGATGCCCGCTTCCGTGCAGCCATGCCCGCTGAGTTTCTTGCCTCCAACCCTCCCCCGCTCTGGCTCACTCTCTACCATCTAGTCACCCGCCTCCCTGACACTCTGCGTACAGTCAGGGACCACTTCCTAGCTCGCTGCCCCACTGAGCTCACCATTACCGCCCTAGAGAAGGAACTACTTGCAGCTGAGAAGAGTATTGTAGCTGTAGGTACCTCTCGTGGCGACCCCCGCACCCCTTTCTTCGAGGGGTGTTCCCCCTCCCCCCTGCTCCCCTCTGTCGCCTCTGCTGCTGCTGTCGACCTCCTTGGTGCTGAGCAGGTCGGCTCAGCGTCCGCTCCCAGCGGGCGTCGCAGCGGCAAGGGCAGGGGAGGCAAGGGCGGTGGGGGTGACGGCGGGGGAGGCGGTGGTGGGGGTGGTGGTGGCGGTGGGGGTGGTGGCGGGGCTGGAGGGGCTAGTGGCAGCGGTGGGAGTGGTGGAGGCAGCGGCGGCGGCGGTGGCCGGGGTGGGGGCGGTGGTGGTGGCGGCAGTGGACGTGGAGGCGGCAGGGGCGGTGGTGGTTGTGGTGGAGGCGGTGGTGGTGGTCGTGGAGGCTCTGGCACTGGCCAGAGCGCGCAGCACCCTCAGTCCTCCCAGGAGCTTCGTGAGTGGTACTTACAGCACAGGGGTGGGGGGGGTAGCCTTAGCTGCACGTACGTCATCCGGACTGGTCGCCGCAAGGGACAGACGTGCGGGAGGGCGCACACTGCTGCGGTCCGGTACGCTGCGCATCAGCTCAACCTCTGGCCCCGTGTCTCTGCTCCGGAGACCTCACCCACACTGCTGTGGACGGGGGAGGTTGGCGATGCGTCACGCTTCCGTGTCTGGGGATCCCGAGCTTTTGTGAGCGACACGTCTGCGGACAAGCTCTCCTCCCGCACTGCTCCCTGTGTCTTTCTTGGCTTTGTCCCGGATGCGTCTGGCTGGCAGTTTTACCACCCCGCCTCGCACCGCGTCTTCCCCTCTCAGGACGTTACTTTTGACGAGTCCGTGCCCTTCTACCGCCTCTTCCCCTACCGCACTGCACCGCTCCCTCCCCCGCCTCTCTTCCTCGCGCCAGGTGCTGCAGTGGTAGACCCCCTTCCCCCTCAGGGTGCCGCTCCCTCAGGTGTCTCTCAGGTAGACCCGGTTGAGCCTGCCGAGGTAGCTGTCGACTCGCGTCCTGCTAGAGGTGCTGAGCCTGAGCGTGCGGAGCCTGAGCGTGCGGAGCCTGAGCGGGTGGAGCCTGGGGGTGCTGAGTCTGGGGGTGCTGAGACTGGGGGTGCTGAGCCTGGGGGTGCTGGGTCTGGGGGTACTGAGCCTGGCGTTGCTGAGTCTGGGGGTGCTGAGCCTGGTGGTGTTGCAGTCGACTGTGAGGCGCCTGGAGGACCTCCCTCTTCGCAGCAGCTACGTGAGTGGTACTCACGGTACTGCAGCCTTCGGCGGGGTGCGTCTCGGGCTCGTGGTGCTACTGGAGTTGGTACTCGTGTTTCCCCACCACGGCGGGAGCCGCCCTCTTCCCCACAGCTTCGAGAGTGGTACGCTCGGCACATCAGTCTCCGGAGTGGAGCTGCTGGTGCTGGGGTCCCCGGAGTTGACGCTGCTGCGGGTGCTGCGGACCCTGGTGCTGGAGGTGCTACTGCTGCTGGTGGTGCTGCTGGAGGTGCTGCTCGTACTGAGGACCCGGGCGTTGGAGCTGCTGCGGGTGCTGCGGACCCTGCTGCTGGAGGTGCTGCTGCTGCCGCTGGAGTGGAGGACCCGGAGGGTGGAGCTTCTGCTGGTGCTGAGGACCCTGCCGCTGGTGTCTCTGCTGGTTCGGGAGTTGCTGCACGGCCACGGCCGTACTTCGTTCCGCTCCTTCAGCAGGTTCTTGGTCAGACTCCTCCTCCTTGTCCTCCTCTCGCCTTAGAGTGTCCGCCGTCTGTCCAGTCACAGCCACAGTTACCGCCTGCCTCCCCGCTCCCTGTGCCTACTCCTTACACTGGTCCGACTGGAGGTCTTGCTGAGAGACGTGAGCCTGCGTCACGTCCTGTGTCACCTGCGTCTCGTCGAGCGTCGCCTGTTCGTGCTGCTACCACTGGTAGTCGAGTCCAGCGTCAGCGTCCTCCTGCTGTCCCAGGCACTCACCAGATGGCGCTTCGTCAGTCCACTGCTCCGCAGCGTGTCGTTCTCCCGTCGCCTCCTGCGTCCTCTCTTCCTGCTCTTGCTGACCCGGAGTCAGACACCCTTCGCGGTGCCAGTCCTACTGTCACACGTCTCCTGGCTACAGTTGTCACTGACCCTTCCTTTGAGTCCGCTGCTGCGTCTGCCTTAGTCACTGAGCTTGTCGACTTTGCAGCTGCGTGTCGTCTAGACTATGCTGCGAGTCTTGTTGCTGAGTCTGAGTCTGTCTGTCCTCCGTCCGTCGGGGGTGAGTGTGCTCTTGGCACGGACGTTCTTGAGGACAGGCAGGAGGAGTTTGGTTGCCTTGCCGCTGCTTTGCCCCATCTCGTGTCCATGCTTGTTGCCCCTGAGGGAGACCCGGATGCACCAGACATCCCGACCCCACGCTCTTACGCAGAGGCGATGGCCGGTCCCTACTCCTCTCAGTGGCAGTCAGCCATGGACACAGAGATGGCTTCCTGGAAGTCCACTGGCACCTACGTCGACGAGGTTCCCCCACCTGGGGCGAACATCGTCAATGGCATGTGGATTTTCAGGGTGAAGCGGCCGCCGGGCTCTCCGCCTGTCTTCAAGGCGCGTTACGTTGCACGAGGCTTCAGTCAGCGAGAGGGAGTTGACTTCTTCCAGACCTTCTCCCCGACCCCGAAGATGACCACTCTTCGGGTTCTGCTACACGTCGCCGCTCAACGTGACTACGAGCTCCACTCTCTTGACTTCGGCACAGCTTTCTTGCAGGGCAGCTTGCACGAGGAGATCTGGCTGCGCCGCCCACCTGGCTTCACTGGGTCGTTCCCTCCTGGTACCCAGTGGAGCCTCAGGCGGCCAGTCTACGGTCTCCGCCAGGCGCCACGTGAGTGGCACGACACACTGAGGACTACACTTGCGGCTCTTGGGTTCGCTCCTTCTACTGCTGACCCGTCGCTGTTTCTACGCACCGACACCTCACTGCCGCCGTTCTACATCCTCGTGTACGTCGACGACTTGGTCTTTGCCACTTCTGACACAGCTGGTCTCGCTCACGTGAAGTCCGAGCTGCAGAAGAGACACACGTGCACAGACCTGGGTGAACTGACAAGCTATCTTGGCTTGCGGATCACCCGGGACAGAGCACGACGCACCATCACCTTGACTCAGTCACACATGGTGCAGCAGGTCCTTCAGCGCTTCGGCTTCACGTACTCCTCGCCTCAGTCTACTCCTCTGCCTACGGGACACTCGCTCTCAGCTCTGCCTTCGGATGAGTCCGTAGAGCCGAGTGGTCCGTATCCAGAGCTTGTGGGCTGCCTCATGTACCTGATGACCTGCACTCGACCTGACCTTGCATACCCTCTCAGCATCTTAGCACGCTATGTCGCTCCCGGCCGTCACCGGAAGGAGCACATGGATGCAGCTAAGAGGGTGTTGCGCTACTTGTGCAGTACGTCGGGCATGGGGCTAGTGCTTGGAGGGCGAGACCGGCCTGTTCTCACTGGGCACTCAGACGCTTCTTGGGCAGACGACCAGGCTACTCAGCGATTGTCTCAGGGTTACACCTTCAGTCTTGGCTCTGGCTCTGTCTCTTGGCGTTCTACTCGTTCTTCTTCTGTTCTCGGCTCCAGCTGTGAGGCTGAGATCTACGCCACGGCCATGGCTGCCCAGGAGCTTCGCTGGCTCACCTACCTGCTGACTGACCTTGGAGAGCAGCCTCGTTCTCCTCCAGTGCTGTACGTCGACAACAAGGCAACCATAGCCTTGTGTCAGGAGCACAGACTGGAGCACAGGACGAAGCACATTGCTCTACGTTACTTTCTAGCTCGAGATCTACAGCAGCGTGGTCAGCTTCTTCTGCGTTACGTGGCCACTGAGGCCAACACTGCTGATGTGTTCACCAAGGCGCTTCCGCCTGTTGACCATCAGCGTTTTTGCACTCTTCTAGGCCTTGTGCCGACTGTTCCTCACTTGCTTACTTCTTGACTTTGCCTGTACTGTGATCATTATATATATACCTGCATGTTTGCCCTTGCTAGGTTGTGATCATTGTACCTCTTGCTCTGTTATAAAACTGCATGTGAACTGGTCTTGTGACCGCTTACTTGTGCTCGGAATTTGTGTGGAATCCTCGAGATCCACCCTGAGCTTGTTTGCCTTGTTTTGCCTTGACTGGTCTTGTGACCCCTAGGTCTCCCCCACTTTGCCTATGGGGGTGTGTCAAACATTATATGTTTGTGTGGTTCTAGGCTGTAGTGGGTCACACCATAGGGGGCACACCAGTTTAGGGTTTCATATTTGTACTGTTGTTCCTGCTAGTCACATCATTCCTGTTTCTCATTCTGACAGTTCGTAGAGAACGAGGGGAGGTAGAGACCAGACAGGGTGCCAGAGGGGGCTGCAAGGCACGGAAGGATAGTGGAGAAGCTAGCAAGGACAGGACCCACAAAGGGGTCTGCCAGGGAGACTGCAACCGGCCGACTAAGCGGCGTAAGAGTGGTGCGGTCTCGAAAGAAGGAGCGGGACGCACCCGAGTCCAGGGTGAAGGTGTGGAAGGCCTGAGCCGACGTAGTACCTGAGAGAGCAGACTCACCAGCACCTGGGGCGGCAGACGCACTGGCACCTGGGGCAGCAGACGCACTAGCACCTAGAGCAGCAGTCTCACCAGCACCTAGCGCAGCAGCCTCAATGCCCGGGTCAGGCGGTACACACAGGTAACAGGCACCCTCAACACTATCAGCATCAGCATACATGGCAGCAAGAATAGCATCAAAATCAAGATCAAAGATAGCAACCCCGGCCTTAGCCGGATCTCCCCAGCGAGGGATCTCTAACGCCTCAGAGAGCTGGCGACGCCACGCGTCCGTCAAGCGACCAAAGCAGCGCTGGGTGGAGTGCGGACCTCCGCACTGCTCACCAGTGCGGTCGCCGGTACGGAGAACGTAAGAGCAGGGACCAAAACCCCCACCGCGCTGGCGTGCAGTGTACCACTCACGAAGCTGCTGAGGGGACAGGGTCACACCACTCCGCTGCTGCTGCTGGCGCTGACCACCACCGGCGCCACTCCTCGGCGCAGAGTCGCGACTCGCTCCACCACCGCCGCCTCCGCCGCCGCCGCCGCCTCCACCGCCTCCGCCGCCTCCTACACCTCCGCCTCCTCCACTACCTCCGCCGCCTCCGCTCCCTCCGCCACCTCCACCGCCTCCGCCGCCTCCACTGCTGCCGCCGCCGCCGCCACCCCCAGCACCACTCCCACCACCACCCCCACTCCCTCCACCACCTCCACCACCACCTCCACTGCCCCCTCCACCCTCTCCAGTGCCCTTGCCCCCCTTGCCCTTGCCGGTGCGGCGTCTCCCGCTCGGGGCAGACGCAGCGCCGACCGACTCGAAACCAATGAGGTCGGCCGCAGCAGCAGAGGCAACAGAGGGCAAGAGGGGGGAGGGAGAACACCCCTCAAAGACGGGGGTGCGAGGGTCACCACGAGAGGCTCCTACAGCGACTATGCTCTTCTCCGCCGCTAGGAGGGCCTTCTCGAGGAGGTCAACGGTGAGAGTGGTGGGGCAAACAGAGAGGAAGTGGTCCCTAACTACACGGAGAGAGTCAGGGAGACGGGTGACTATGTAGTAGAGGGTGATGTACATGGGGGGGGGGGGGGTTCTTGGCGCAGAACTCAGCAGGAAGCGCAGCGCGGTAGCGATTGTCACTAGTGCGGAGGTGCGTAATGAGGTCAGCGACAGTGGGAAAGGCAGCAAGGTCAGGGAAGAGGTACGGTAGCATGAGGCGGCTCAGTGCAGTAGTGGCAGGGGAAGAGTAGCGTGCAACTACAGCGTCGTACAAGGTCTGAGCACTCTTGTACTGGCTAAAGTGTGCACGCTCAGTGGTCGGTAAGTGGCGGCGCACAGCAAGGCGAGCAGCAGCGTCACGTGTGGCCCACTGTGAGCGAACAGTGGCGTCAGCATCAGCAGCAGGGGCAGGGGAGGCACCAGAAGTGAGGTCAAACAGGGAGAGGCCGTCTGCCCTATCGCACTGCAGGAAAAGCTGCAAATCATCTACCCAGACCTCAAAGTCCACTGCCCGACCCTCAGCGTCAAAGGTGAGAACGCTAGGGGAAGCCATAACAGGAGTAGGCAAGGCAGTGCAGTGGCAGAGACTGTGCTCTTACCAGGTAGGTGGAGCGATCGGGCTGCTCGGCGGCTCGGCTGTCGGGCGGCTCGGCTGCAGGGCGGCTCGGCTGCTGGGCGGCTCGGCTGCTGGGCGGCTTGGCTGCACGATGCTGGGCGGCTCGGCTGTCGGGTGGCTCGGCTGCTGGGCGGCTCGGCTGCCGGGCGGCTCGGTTGCTGGGCGGCTCGGGCGGTCGGGCGGCTCAGCTGGCCGGCGGTTCGGCTGCTCGGCGCTGCGGGCGCTGGGAGGCGGGGTCGCAGGTGGTGGCGAGGTCGCAGGTGGCGGCGTAGCGGGGCCACGACGGGGCCGTAGCGGGGACTAAGCGGGGCCATAGCGGGGCCGACGGGGCCGAAGCGGGGCCCAAGTGGGGCCGTAGAGGGGCCGACGGGGCCGAAGCGGGGCCGCGATGGGGCCGTAGCGGGGTCGTAGCGGGGCCGCAGCGGGGCCTAAGCGGGGCTGACGGGGCCAAAGCGAGGCCTGAGCGGGGCCGCGACGGGGCCGACGGGGCCTTAGTGGGGCTGACGGGGCCGTAGCGGGGCCGTAGCGAGGCCGACGTGGCCGACGGGGCCGTAGCGGGGCCGTAGCGGGGCCGACGGGGCCGTAGCGGGGCCGTAGCGGGACCGTAGCGGGGCCTAAGCGGGGCCGACGGGGCCGTAGCGGGGCCGTAGCGGGTGTGAAACAAGTGAACAGGAAATGAGAATGACTAAGGAAAGATTGGGTACAAATACAACCCTAGAAACCCTGTACCCCATATGTGCTACCCCACTATAGCCTACAGCAACTATGTCATATAAATCTGACACACCCCCATAGGCAAAGTGGGGGAGAACAAGGGGTCACAAGACCAGTCAAGTAAAGCAAAGCAGAGCAAGCTCAGGGTGGATCACAACGTCACCACACAGTCCGAGCACAAGAGCAGGGCCAGAGGCCAGTTCACATGCAGGAGCACAGACATATATATATAAAACTAGACAAGCAAGAGCAGGTATATATATGTCACAGTACAAGTAAAGTCAAGAGGAGAGCAAGTGAGGCAAGACAGGCACAAGACCCAGCTGGGTGCAGCAACGCTGATGGTCACAAGGCGCGAGTGCCTTGGTGAACACATCAGCAGTGTTGGCCTCAGAGGCCACGTACGCAAGCCGCAACTGTCCACGCTGCTGCAGCTCACGAGCAAGGAAGTAGCGAAGAGCAATGTGCTTCGTTCTGTGCTCCAGACGCTGCTCTCGACACAAGGCCAGCATGGCCTTGTTGTCTACGTACAGCACTGGAGGAGAACGAGGCGGCTCTCCAAGGTCAGTCAGCAGGTAGGTGAGCCAGCGAAGCTCCTGTGCAGCCATGGCCCCAGCGTAGATCTCAGCCTCACAACTGGAGCTGAGAACCGAAGACGAGCGAGTAGCCCGCCACGAGACAGAGCCGGAACCAAGACTGAAGGTGTAACCCTGTGACGACCGCTAGGTAGCCTGGTCGTCAGCCCAAGAAGCGTCCGCGTGCCCTGTAAGGACCACTGGACTCCGCCCTCCAAGCACTAGCCCCATGCCCGACGTACTGCACAGGTAGCGAAACACCCTCTTCGCTGCAGCCATGTGTTCTGGTCGGTGTCTCCCAGGAGCAACATAGCGTGCAAGAATGCTCAGAGGGTATGCAAGGTCAGGTCGTGTGCAGGTCATCAGGTACATGAGGCAGCCAACAAGCTCTGGGTACGGGCCACTCGACTCTACGGACTCATCCGAAGGCAGAGCTGAGAGCGAGTGGCGAGTAGACAGAGGAGTGGCCTGAGGCGAGGAGTACGTGAAGCCGAAGCGCTGAAGGACCTGCTGCACCATGTGTGACTGAGTGAAGGTAATGGTGCGGCGTGCTCTGTCCCGAGTGATCTGCAAGCCAAGGTAGCTGCGCAATTCACCCAGGTCTGTGCACGTGTGTCTCTTCAGCAGCTCGGACTTCACGTAGGCGAGTCCAGCAGTGTCCGCTGTGGCAAAGACCAAGTCGTCGACGTACACGAGGATGTAGAACGGCGGCAGAGAAGTGTCGGTGCGCAGAAACAGCGACGGGTCAGCAGTAGAAGGAGCAAACCCAAGAGCCGCAAGCGTAGTCCTCAGTGTGTCGTGCCACTCACGCGGTGCCTGGCGGAGACCGTAGACTGGCCGACGGAGGCTCCACTGGGTGCCAGGAGGGAAAGTCCCAGTGAAGCCAGGTGGACGGCGCAGCCAGATCTCCTCGTGCAGGCTACCCTGCAGGAACGCAGTGCTGAAGTCGAGAGAGTGAAGCTCGTAGTCGCGCTGAGCGGCTACGTGCAGCAGCACCCGAAGAGTGGTCATCTTCGGGGTGGGAGAGAAGGTCTGAAAGTAGTCAACTCTCTGCCGCTGACTGAAGCCACGAGCAACATACCGCGCCTTGAAGACAGGTGGAGAGCCTGGCGGCCGCTTCACCCTGAAGATCCACATGCCACTGACGATGTTCGCCCCAGCAGGGGGAACTGCGTCAACGTAGGTGCCTGTGGACTTCCAGGAAGCCATCTCTGCATCCATAGCTGCCTGCCACTGAGACGAGTAGGGACCCTCTACGGCCTCCGCGTAAGAGCGCGGAGTCGGGATGTCTAGTGCATCCGGGTCTCCCTCAGGAGCAAGCAGTACAGACGCGAGATGAGGTGAAGCAGCCGCCAGACACTGTAACTCCTCCTGCCTGTCCTCTAGGACGTCCGTGCCAAGAGCACAGTCACCCTCGACGGACAGAGGACAGTCAGACGCTGACTCAGCAACAAGACTAGTAGCGTAGTCTAGACGACAGCGAGCAGCAAAGTCGACGAGCTCAGCGACAAGGGCAGACGCAGCAGTGGACTCAAACGAGGGGTCAGTGACGAGAGTAGCAAGGAGACGCGTGACAGTAGGACTGGCAGCACGAAGAGAGTCCGACTCAGGGTCGGCAAGCGCAGGAAGAGAGGACTCAGGAGGAGAAGGCAAAGGGGCACGCAGAGGAGCAGTGGACGGACGCAGAGACATCCGGTGCGTGCCAGGGACAGGAGGAGGACGCTGACGCGAACCGCGACCACTAGTGCGAGCAGCACGAACAGGCGACGCAGGACGAGACGCAGGCTCACGACGCTCAGCAAGACCTCCAGTAGGACCAGTGTAAGGAGAGGGAGCAGGCAGTGGAGAGGAAGGCTCCAACAGGGACTGCGACTGGACAGGCTGTGGACACTCTACCGGAGGAGAAAGACCAAGAACCTGCTGTAGGAGCGGAACGAAGTACGGCCGAGGCCGCGCGGCAACTCCAGACTCAGCAGGGACAGCACCAGCACCCTCAGCGACAGCACCAGCGCCACCAACACCTCCAGCGGCAGGACCTCCAGCAGCACCAGTAGCAGAACCACCGCCGGGACAGACAGCAGTAGTCTCAGCACCAACACCCTCAGGAGCTCCTGCTCCAGGAGTACCCGCACACCCAGCAGCTCCGGGACCGGCAGCACCAGCACCCTCGACGGTCGAAGAAGCTCCAACTCCAGCAGCACGCCTCCAGCGGCGAGCAAACCACTCGCGCAGCTCCTGTGGAGAGAGGGGCTCCCGGCGAGACGCAGCAGCAGGAGAAACCCCAGGCTCAACAGCTCCAGACGTAGCACCCCCAGGCTCAGCAGCTCCAGACTCAGTACCCCCAGGCTCAGCAGCTCCCGACCCAGCACCCCCAGACCCAGCACCCCCTAGCTCAGCAGCTCCAGGCACCGTACCCCCCGGCTCAGCACCCCCAGGCTCAGCACCCTCCGCAGTAGCACTCCCAGGCCCAGCACCCCCAGGCTCAGCACCCCCAGTAGCAGCACCTCCAGGCTCGGCAGCCCCGCGCACAGCACCCCCAGAGTCAGTACCCCCAGCAGCACCAGAGTCACCAGTAACCTCGACCGGGTCAACTGCGTCTACCTGGGACACACCTGAGGGGGCAGGAACCTGAGGGGGGAGGGGGTCTACCGGGGGGGGAACCGGCACAAGGAAGTCCGGCGGAGGAGGGAGGGAAGGAGTGCGGTAGGGGAAGAGGCGGTAGAAGGGGACTAACTCGTCGAACGTGACGTCCTGGGAGGACAGAACACTACGAGAGGAGGGGTGGTAAAACTGCCACCCGGGAGCGTCTGTGGGGAAGCCAAGGAAGACACAGGGAGCAGCACGAGGGGACAGCTTGTCCGCAGACAAGTCGCGGACAAACGCCCGAGATCCCCAGACACGGAACGCCGACGCATCGCCAACCTTCCCCGTCCACAGCAAAGCTGGGGAGGTCTCCGGTCGGGAGACTCTGGGCTGAAGGTTGATCTGATGCGCGGCGTACCGAACCGCAAACGGCCACAGAAAATGGGGGGCAGCCGCATGCACCATGGACGTACGGGCGACGTCCATGACAATGCCGATGCGGCGCTCAGCAATCCCATTCTGCTGTGGAGAGTCCGGAAGCGTGAAAGTCTGGCGGATGCCTCGTGCCCGACAGTAGGCTCGCAGAAGGCCGGAGGAGAACTCTCCGCCTCTGTCCGAATGCAGACGCAGAACAGGAAAGTCCGAGCCGAAGCTCCGCCTGAGCTGGAGACGAGCTGCGCGGATCCAGTCAATCAACACCTCAGTGACCTCACCCTTGCTGCGCAAGGGGAAGACTGTGGTGTAACGCGAGTAGTCGTCAACCACCAGCAGGAAGTAGCGCTCGTGACCCTGTCCACGGACGCGGGCTGGGCCCCACACGTCCATGTGAAGCGTCTGCATCGGGGCCTCCGTCGGAGGGAACGGGGAGGAGTGAGGGGTAGCCCGCAGGCGACCCTCGACACAGGGGACACAGGGAGGGCCAGGCCCCGGAGGAAGGGGAGGGAGGGACCGGGGAAGGCCAGAGACAAGAAGGCGAGAGGCCATGCCCCGGAGACGAGGCAGGGAGGGGTGACCCATCCTGTGGTGCCACAGGAGGGTCTCGTGGGACAGGACGCGACACGAGCAGGGGGCAGACTCAGGACCAGACCTGGACGCTGCAGCAAACACCTGACCCGACGCAGCTACCTGACCAGACGCAGGAGAAGGAGACGGAACAGTGAGTGTGTACAGGCTCGACCCTGGACCACGTGTGAATGTGGTCAGGTGTCGACCCGTGTCCGCGTCCGTGCAGTGGGTGACTCGTCGGCGTGTAGGGGTGAACTGGTCAACCCCTGCATCCTGTAGGTCAGCACCCGCCACCAAGTTCGTAGAGAACGAGGGGAGGTAGAGACCGGACAGGGCGCCAGACGGGACCGCAGGGCACGGCAGGACAGTGGAGTAGCGAGCCAGAACAGGACCCGCGGAGGGGTCTGCCAAGGAGACCGCCACTGGCCGACTAAGCG